AGGGAAGCCCAAGGGAGCGCAGAGTCTTAACCACTGCGCCACCAGGGAAGTCCCAGGGCCCCAGTCCTTTCTCTCGTGCATGGCACAGGGTGGGTCTGATGGGAGCTATTGCTTTCTGCATCGCAGTTGTGGAGGAGGAGGTGCCCTGTTTCTCATTTGGGCCTCTGGACTGTTGAAATAGGGGGAAGGTCCTTGGGCCTGTAAATCTAAGAGCAAAGCCTGCAGAGAAGCTGTGCTGGAGCCCTGGTTTATCCTGAGTAGCAGCAGGTGGAGACCAGAGGCCCAGGAAGGGCCAGCCTTGCCCTACTTATTAATCAGTAGCCTTTGAGGGAGCCTTTGGGTGAGGGATAGAATAATGGGCCTGACATCTGACATGAGCCAGGTAGTCCAGACTCACTGATCCTCTGGTGTGGGCCTGTGTTCCCACCTTCCCCTCCTGGCCTCCGCCAGGGAGCCGTGAGGCTGTCTGGGCTGCCCGGTGAGCACCGTCTCTGTGCTTCCTACAGGCTTCACCGCTGACCTGAGGTCCAACACGGGCGGCCAGGCCTTTCCCCAGTGTGTGTTCGACCACTGGCAGATCCTGCCCGGTGACCCCTTTGACAGCACCAGCCGCCCCAGCCAGGTGGTGGCAGAGACGCGCAAGCGCAAAGGCCTGAAAGAAGGCATCCCGGCCCTGGACAACTTTCTGGACAAGTTGTAGGCAGCCTCCCTGCAGCCCGCTGCCTGGTGGGACTCGGCGCAGCCCCTGCGCCCAGGGACAGGTGACCACAGCAACAGCCCCACATTCTCCACGACACCTTGAGGCTGTCCAGACCCAGTAACGCTCTGCCTGACAAGTTTCTGGGGCCCACTCTGTGCCATCACTCAACATGAACACTTGATGCCGTTTCTTTCGATATTTATTTCTAGATTTCAGAGGCAACAGAAGTGTCCTCACAGCAGGGCCTTATCTGGCTGGTAGGGATGGGGGAGGAGATGGGACACCCAAAGCTTTTTTTGTTAAGAGGGAAATTCACATGTCCAAAAAAAGTTAAAAATAAACGCATTAAGAGGTTTATTTGGGTAAATGGCCCGTAGTGGATTTTCCTCCGGAAAGGGGGAAGGAACAAGCGGGTAGATGTTCTCTTTGGACAGAAGCTAGAAGGCAGGAAATCGTGTGCAGTGTCACCATGAGCACATCCAGCTGTACTAGTGCCATTGGAATAATAAATTTGATATGGTGGTGATCGTGTATGCGTGTCCATGGTCTTTCTCCATCCGCTCAGGCTACAATGGACTCCCTGTGCCGGTGAGCAAGGCCATTGGTTACGCTCCAGTACACAGTGTTCAGTATCACCTCCAAATGTCCAGGGCTGAGGCAGAGGTCCGTGAGACTTCACGTGATCCAGGCGAGTCCAGTTGTCCACCTGTCACGTGGGGCCAGCCGGTGGAACTGTCCTACATCTGTGCTGTCTGCAGGGGCAGCCACTGGCCTCATGTCTACTGAGCGTTTGAAATGGGGGCAGTGCAGCGTAGGACCGTTACTTTTAGCTGTAAACATATTTCCATAGTCTGATGGCTCTGGTGCTGTTATTAGCAGTCAGTGCAGGCTGGGAAAATTGCCCATGTGCTCAGCTTTGTCCCATCGAAACTTCCCTATGGTTACTGCAGTGCTGACTAACCCTGGGGGCTGATTTGTGCCTGGATTGTGGGAGGAGCCTCAGTCTAACTTTCATGCTAGGAGCAGCTATTTGAACAAACAGCAAGGATTCCTTTGTAGGATTCTCTGGATTTGTCCATTCAAACTTTAAAGATTTGTAACATTATGCGTGGGTTATCACTCTACATGCCTGTCCTCAGGAAGGCGGATGGGGACAGTGAGGTGCTGGTGTGGGGTTCCAGGCCAGGAGGGTGGCCATTGTGCACCCAGGCTGCCCAGACCTATACCTCCACTAATATGTGTCTTGTTAAGGTATGGAAAGGGGAGGAAAAGAGCTGTAGAAACCTGATGAACGTTGCCTAGAGCCAGATGATCAAGGTCAACAACAGTGATAAGTCAGGATACTATGAACCCTTGATAAGGAGTGATGAAAATGGCACTGTATGGTCTTCCTAAAACCCAGCACCCTTATTTAACCACGAGAAAGACAAATCCCAATTGAGGGAGTAGACCAATCCTCACAACTGTCTTAAGTCATCAAAAACTGGAAAGTGTGAGAAGCTCAAAGCCCAGAGGAACCTAAGGAGACATCACTAAATGTGACTGTGGGATCCTCGAACAGGAAAAGAACATTAGGGAAAAACAAGGAACTCAATAAAGTACGGACTGGTTAATGTATCACTCTTGGTTCATTAATGGTGACAAATACAAGATGTAATAGGGGAAACTGCATATGGGAGAAAGTGCTGCTTTAGCTGTGAACTGAAGTGTGCTTAGGAGTTGAGTGGAGGAAGGCAGTTCCCAGGCAGGAGGAAGAAAGCTGGTGGCATCTCAATGAGATGCTTGAGGTGAGAAGGCAAATGGTGTTGGAGTGAAAAAGGTGGGGGGGGGGGTTGTACGAGGTTAGGGTGGCCAGCAAGGACCAAAAGACACAGGTCTGTGTCAGATGGTGTCTGACCTAGTTCAGCGTGGGCTTTCGGTTCGGGCCTCTCTGGGAACGAATCTCAGTTACGCCTTTGCCGGCTGTGTGACTCCGGGTGGGTTACCTAACCTCTCTGGGGTCTTGTTTCCCCAACTATAGAATGGGTAAAATATTAATGTATTTTATCTCCTCGGGTTGTTGATTGGTACGCAATAAGGCTCGATCAGTGCTAGCTGTTATGTATCTTGAGCTTAAAAGGAGTCACAAAACAATCCTCAAGGGGCTTCCCTGGTTGGCTCAGTGGTTAAGAATCCACCTGCCAGGGCTTCCCTGGTGGCGCAGTGGTTGCGAGTCCGCCTGCCGATGCAGGGGACGCGGGGTCGTGCCCCGGTCCGGGAAGATACTACATGCCGCGGAGCGGCTGGGCTCGTGAGCCATGGCCGCTGAGCCTGCGCGTCTGGAGCCTGTGCTCCGCAACGGGAGAGGGCACGACAGTGAGAGGCCCGCGTACCGCAAGAAAAAACAAAAAAAAACCCGCCTGCCAATGCTGAGGACACGGGTTCGAGCCCTGGTCTGGGAAGATCCCACATGCCGCGGAGCAACTAAGCTCTTGCGCCACAACTGCTGAGCCTGCGTGCCACAACTACTGAAGCCCGCGCGCTTAGAGCCCATGCTCCGCAACAAGAGAAGCCACCGCAATGAGAAGCCCGCGCACCGCAACGAAGAGTAGCCCCTGCTCGCCACAACTAGAGAAAGTCCGCACTTAGCAACGAAGACCCAACACAGCCAAAAATAAATACATAAGTAAAATTAAAAATAAATTCTCAAGCACTAATGGCAACACCAAACCAATCTCCTAATTTGCATCTTTATGTATTTGGAATGTGGTTAGCATTTTACAGAGAAGTAAACTGCCACTCAGGGACTAAAGCAGCCCAAGGGTTCACCTCACGGACTGTCATGCCGGAGCTGGGCCTTGGAATCGCGTTATCTCATGCCCAAGGTAGGCAGGAATAGGGATGCAGAATTTCAGCATCCCGCCTCCCAGCTTCAGGACCCCGGTCAGAGGAGAACGGGCGGGGCGGTCCAGGGGCCGGAAGTCGGAAGGCCGACTTCCGTAAACTTGACAGGCGTTCTTTACAGCCAATCACCTGCGGGAAGCCTAACCTGTGCCAAAGGCGAGGCAGCAATCTGGTGAGGAGGGCGGGACGCGCGAGGGCCTGGGCCTGGAAGGCGGCGGTGGGCGGGCTTCACGAGCGGCGGGCGCACTGACCAATGGGTGGTGGGCTCCACCTCTTGGGGGTGGGCCCTGGAGGGCGCGGTGACGTCGCACGGGTCGGCGCGTCGAGGCATCCAAGGCTGCGGGGCCTGAGGACGCGGCGGCGGCGGGCAGCGCGGCTGAGGGGCCGGTTCGCGGCGCGGGGCCGAGGAGGGTGCGGAGCGGGCTCGGTACGAGGCTGGAGGGTTGGGGGGCCCTTGGGGGGTCTTAGCGGGGTGGGGGACGTTTAGGGGACCCGTGGGATGACTGGGCGGGAGAAGAAGCTGGGCCGGGGCCTGTGAGGGGCGTGGCGGTCTCTGGGACGCTGGAGCACGGACGTCAGGGGCTGGGGAGATCTTTGAGGCGTCTCTGAAGGAAGCCGTCGGGGTCTGCCATGGAGCTTGGGAGAAGGCCGGGGGAGAAGGGCGTTGGAGGAGACTCTCAGCTGTGGCCCTTTGAGGAGGCCCGTTGGGAGTGTGGAGACCGGGGTGGGGGCCTTTGAAACCTGGAGGGGTGCCTTCGGGGACGGGGGGAGGAAGAAGTTAGCTTTGCTAGGACGGTGGTCAGGGGAAGCAAGAGTGGGTCGGGGCCTTTGGAGGAGCTTGGAAGCCATTGTCCAGTTCCTGGGGAATTCACGCTTGGGGGGAGCAAAAGATTACCCACAGCGCTGCAGAGGGTCTTAAGAGACCAGCCGAGGAGGAGGGGTTA